GGCGGGGCTACGAGTGGCAAGATATGTGTTGCCTTCTGGGATGCTTGCACTGCCTATGGCTGATCTCGAGCGCGCAAGTTGGGGGCGCTGTCCACTACGTCCCACAATGTTCAACGTGGATCGGCCTGTGCAGGGGTCATGCGAAACGGTCTCGGTGCAATCCATTCGGTTGTGGGCACCTTCGGGGCGACGTGAACGAAGCGAACTTCACGTCCATGATTTTGTTAGCCAGGGCCGCGTAAACCAATCGGCACCCTAACAGAGAGGGGGGGGGGGGAATCCGTGAAACTGGTTCCTCACTCCTCCTTCTCTTCCTTCATCCTCGCGGCGCCTTCCTCATGCTCCACCGCCGCCTCCTCCTTCTCGTCCTCTCCTCTCCTCCTCCTCCCCCTCGCCCCTCCCCCCCTCCTCAAACGGGCCCCCCTTTCCGAGGGAAGCAGCGCCGCGGCGGCAGAAGGGGTGCAACGGAGTAGGCGGACGGGGGGAAGGAGGGGGGGGGGGAGGAGGAGGAGGAGGCGGCGGGAGAGGAGGCTGACAAGAAACTGAGGACGGGGGGAACGAGGGGGATGCTACGGGCGAGGAAGACTTGACATCAGCCCAGGTCGTTCATGATCTTCTATGGGTCCATCCGTGGCGTCAGAATGATAATCGAGCAGCCCCTGAACTCCCTGCTATATTGGACTCCTGAGATGAAGGGCGCCCTGAGAGTGCTGCAAGCTGCTCGCCACGTTACTTTTTTAGGGGCCTATGGGTCCCCGACAACGAAGCCGACCGAAGTTTATTCTACTTTGAATTCGATTGCAGAGATTGTGCGCTCCAGGCGCCTGGCTCACCAGCGGCTCGGCATGTCGCGGCGCACATCGCATTGGCGGTCTGATTTCAAGCACTGCGAACGCATGCCTCGACCGACTATCGCCAAGCGAGCATCGGGCTGGCCGTCTCGCCAATGGGTCAACGGGAAGTCAGACGTGTTGAAATCTAGCCAAACGTACCCTGGGGATTTTTGCAAGTTGCTTGCGAAGCTGATCGCAACCGAGCGATAGCATCCTGGCCCGCGCTCGTGCACGATCGTCGAAGGGGGGCGGGCGTCGGACATGCGGGGTTGTAGACACTGTTAACGGCCATGACAGCGACGGATCAGAGGGTGAGGAGGAGGAGGAGGAGGAGGAGGACAAGGATGACAAGGAGGAGGAGCAGAACAGAAAACCGAGCAGGAGGGGCGGGACGATGAAAATATCAAGGGCGCGGGGAGGGGAGAAGACCGATGAGGAGGTGGCGGAGGAGGAGGGGGAGGGGCGAGGAGCGAGGAGGGACGAGAACGAATGGCAAGAGCGACAGATGCCGAGGATCATGGGACCGTTCCCGCCAGCTTCGGCCGGCAAACGGTGCGCGCTCTGCCCAGCCGCCCCTTCCCGCCTGCAAGGCGTGTGTGTTCAGCTGGTTCAGCTCGAAAACGAAGGAAAACCGCGCGCGCAAACCTATTGGGCCCGTTGTGCGACCACACTCGGACGAAGCGTGTAAATTCCAATGCAAATCCAATTCTTTCGGGATTTGCATCGGGATCTGCACTGCTCTGGGATTGCCCAATGGGCCCTGCAGGTTTGCGCGCGCGCTCGGCTGCTCGCCCCCTGCCTGCTTCTAGTGCCCCTCCTGCCTGCTTCTAGTCCCTCGCCCCTGCATGTTCCCGCCCGCGCTGAGGGGCGCGCTAGGCAGCCTCGGCGCCCCCCCTCCCCTCCTAAGGCGGGGGAGGAAAACGGAGGAGGAAGAGGAGGAGGTGGAGGATGAAGAGGAGGAGGAGGTGAAGGAGGAGGAGGGGGAGGATGGGGAAGATAGAGGAGGGGGGAGGAGGAGTCCGAACGAGGGGGGGAGGGGGGGGCGATGGGTTCAGATCCCAACCGGACGCGTGAGATCCCAACCGGACGGTTCAGATCCCAACCGTCTAAAACACCAGGCACGGTCAGATCCCAACCGAGGAGGAAGCGAATAAAGAAAACATATTGAAATGTTACCATACTTGTTCATTGCTATCTGAAATTGCGATGGACACTTTACAGGAGCAGAATTTCGCCTGAGTGATTGCGGTTGGGATCTCGCGCGTCTTCTGCTGGATCGTAGTAGTGGTAGAAGTAATACTGGTAGTAGTAGTAGTAGTAGTAGTAGTAGTAGTAGTAGTAGTAGTAGTAGTAGTAGTAGTAGTAGTAGTAGTAGTAGTAGTAGTAGTAGTAGTAGTAGTAGTAAGTAGTAGCAGTAGTAGTAGTAGTCGTTAGAGTAGTAGTATAGTAGTAGTGTAGTAGTAGTAGTAGTAGTAGTGTAGTACAGTAGACCCTTCTTTCCTTCACCATTTTTTTAAACAACACATTTTTTGTCAAATATCTCCCTCCCCCCCTCTATCCTTCTCATTATTTCCTTCTTCATTTACTACTAAAAGTACTAGTAGTTAGTAGTAGTGTAGTAGTAGTAGTAGTAGTAGTAGTAGTAGTTAGTAGTACTAGTCCTAGTT